AAAGCACACCCCCGTCCTCTCCTCGCAGACAGAATTACGCAGTAATAAACATATCTTGTTCCTGACAGTTTCAATGGAAATGCTGAGGTTTATTACTCAGATCAACTTCTGATGAATAAATATGACTATATTGCTACTGTTGTAGAGCTGCTGCGTTTTTCCCAGCAACGTACTTTCGCACCTTTTTATCTCGGCTGCGGAGGAGAAAGTGACGTTAAATACTTAAACATCTTGGAGCCAGTCTCTGGTCTGTGGAGAGTCCAGCTCAAATCTACTCCTGACGGACTAATCCCCGCAGTAAAAGAAATGTGATCTCTGACAGGTAAGTATTAAGGAAATTATTATATACTGCCATCGACGGTGTTGTCAGGACAATCTCACAACTTACAAACTCGTTTCCAAACGTCAGCTCTTCATCAAAATCTCCAGTCCAATTCGGAATCATAAAACCCACCAAATTCATTCCTAACAGAAGCCGAAAGTTTAAAATACAGTTAGAGTTGTTTCAACGCAAAGCTTTGTGTTAGTGATTTTTGTACAATTTTGTTTCTCTTGGCTTCGGCGCTCAGACCATCGCAGCTTTTTTAATGTCGAATGTAAATATTTGGTCCTGGATTCACCAGTGTGTTGAAAATTATTCCCAGATTTGCCTTATACAGGAAGGTTTAATTTGCATCAAAAGGTCATCAATTTCTGTTCTGGAGCTCTACTTGGGAATTGCTATGCTCCTTTGTGCTTTTAGACAAGTGGCCTTTGCATTGGGTGCTTTCTTTTCCCTCCCCACGCAGACATGGTTATTTTTTTCTGTGGTTTGTTGATTAGTTTTTGGGGGAGGTTGGTTTTGGTTTTGGTTTGATTTGGTTTTTACTTCCAGACACAGATCTAATTTTTTTTCCCCTATTCATTTTCTTTTCTTTCTTTCTTTCTTTCTTTCTTTCTTTCTTTCTTTCTTTCTTTCTTTCTTTCTTTCTTTCTTTCTTTCTTTCTTTCTTTCTTTCTTTCTTTCTTTCTTTCTTTCT